CCCTGGGGTCGACTCAGTCTCTAACAGAAATGAGTACCAGGAATATTCTTGGGGGTAAAGCGCGGCCGGTGCGTAAGGCTGACAAACTCACCGCCATCTGTGATTCGATGGTCTAGGAAATGTGGGAACCTCGACGTCTCACAACCGTATGGGCCTCCACGGCCTGTTACAGGGATACCTTTACTTTTATAAATTTTTTATCATTGGCTATAATTTTAAGTTGCTGATCACAGTGACCGAGCTGTCTAAGGCATAAACTATCTTCGCTAGCTCGAACACTGGGATCGTGGGTTCGAATCTCACTCAAGGGATGGATGTCTGTGTGCGTTTATTCTGTGTTTGTGTTATTCTCTGTGTAGGTAGAGGCCTTGTGACGGGCTGATCCCCCGTCCAAGGAGTCCCACCGGCTGTGTATAAGATCAAGAAACTGAAAAGGCGTCCAAGGTCCAACAGAACGGGCTGTAGAACAACAACAACAACAACAACAACAACAATAAATTACAGTATCCTGTATAGACATATGTATTGTTAATATGTACAGTAGTTCCGATTAATGTTGATGAAACCTCTCATGATGGCCAAGACAGGCCAAAACATGTCAGGTATGAAAAAGGTGAAATTATCCCTGTAAGAGGCCGTGGAGGTCCATAGGGTTGTGAGACATAGAGGCTCCCACATTTGCTAGGCAATAGGCTCACAGATGGCGGTGAGGTTGTCAGCCATACATGTCGGTCGTCCACCCTTTATCCCCAGGAAGATTCCTGGTACTCATTTCTGTTACAGGCTTGAAGGATTAGGTGAATTGAAAGATCCAATGACCTCATCGGGAACCGAAAGAAATAAGGTAATTTAAAATAAAAAAAGTCACCTCTGAAGGAATACATACTTTTACATATGCCTGCTTCTTCCATTTTGGTTTGTTCGCCAGAAAAGTGTCTAACAACATGGAGGCCTGAGTGCACGTGCCTTCAGTCACTGTCGCTATGTTATTCCTTTAATTGAACAATAAGCATACAATATCAGTCGAACTGAACAGAGGCAGGTGATGTTTGAGGTTATCACGGCGTCATGCAGGCTGGAAGATATTTACCACACAATTTAATTATGTTCTCTGTTAGTCTCTTTTCTTCCTAGAGTTCTGCTACAGGATTGCCTCCCATAGCTTTTAAATTGCCCTATAATTATCCTAACTTGATATTATTAACGGTTTGAAACTGCCGGCCCAGATTAATGGAAAACGTGTTTTATAATTCATTTCTGAAGCAGCTGGTCATTGATTATTCGACAATCGATTACATTGTGACGTACACTACACGGATAATTTAGTTTACAATTGGCACGGTTGCCTAAGGCTTATTCCATTTCTATTAATGCTTTGTAACATGTTCTGCGCATAAATTGATAAACTGCTCAGTAATCGCCTTGTAGGTACAACTGATATGGACCCTGGGGGCCGAAAAGGAAAGGTTGTAAGCCTGCTTTGGATTTTTTAAAGGATCAGGTGTGATGGACATACACCACAGATTAATACGGAGTATTAATTTAATAATTGAGCCATTTGTGTTTCAATATTGAATTAAAAAACTTAAGACTATTCGTAAAATATTTGTTACACAGCTTAAATAAACATCCACGTGACGCCAATGTGTGGATCCTAGGATGACGCTACTGTGTGGTCCTAAAGAACAGTTACTGTGGTCAGTTCTATATAAATCGGAGGTACCACGGTTCCCTTACAAAGAAGAAACCTATAAACAAGATCTGAAGTCTGTGACAATGGTACATTAACACAAACATTGTGTTTTTGGACATTATCCATCGTCCTGTTTTCATTTTAAACACAAAGTTTCGAAGTCTGGATTCCGTCTCCATCTTCAGGTAAAATCTACTCATTTGGCCCCACTCGATAGAGTTAGTCCCCATCTCCGGACACTTGTACCAACACAAGACAGGGTATAAAAACTAAGCACAGCACAAACCACCTGCGAGAGCTAAGACAGAACATTAAAACATTAAAAACTCCACACGTATGAGGCATAATTTAACATAAATAATTAACACTGTCAAAATTTGTGTGTAACGTAGGAACTTCATTGTATATAAAGTTGTTCCCATGCTTAATTAAGCTCCACGAATTCTAAGCTTCAGCATGGAACAGGATCGTGTAGCGATAAAGCTCTAGATTCCCTTTACAGGAGGTGCTGGGTTCGAATCTCTACCGGGACACCGGAGCTCCTCAGATCATCAAGGCAAAGGACCTGGATCAGGACATGGCCACTTCCTCCCATATCCTTCACAATTGTTCAATCATCCTACGGCAGGAAACTACGTACTATCGATACTGAGAGTGTAGTAAACCACAAACTAATCATTAACCTAGGCACTAGATGAGTGAATAGTCAGCTTCATGCTCCGGCCGTTTTATCCTCAGGTAAACGGCTCCAGGATCCAGTTAGATAATGTAGACGTTGGGCCCCAGGACTTTTCTGGACAACGAAACGCCTCGCTCAGGATATCCGGTATCCGGACCGAGATACGAACCTAGTACTTACTACGCGTCTAGAACGTTACCGCTATGACAGCTCGCTCAGTTTTAAACATCTTATGACGTAAATGGGCAACCGTCTTCTTTATATCTGTCATATGTAAAGCCAAGAAAAAAAGTTAAAGTTGACCCTGTGCTTAACTAATTAAGCACTACGCCATGAAAACGTATGGGGAGTGGACGTATAGATCCACGTATTCATGACCTCTGCACTGGTTGGAGATGAGTGGTCAGCTTCACGCCCCGATCGCCTTACCCCCGGTGAAAGCGCCCCCGGTATCAATTGGATAGAAGGCTGAGTATGCATCAGAACCAGTTTGGACTAGGTAGAGAGGAGAAGAATCTTGCCACTACGGGGACTCGAACCCCGGCCCCTTGTCCGGCCAGCCCGTAGTCAGTCGCTATACCAACTGCGCTGTCCCGGCTCCTTATCTGTTATACACGCACGCTTATTCTGAATCTGTTCGAAATAAAAATAACGGCAGATGACATTTTCAGTGGGGAAGCTAAAGAAAAAGGGGGTGTATTGTACCCGTAACTCCTAGGGGTGTCATTACCACCATCTGGGAAACGATATAAAATATTATTGCCAGTTTCACAGAGTCGTCATAGATGGCAGGCCTTGCCGACTACCCTGCTGCTATCTGTCCACGGCTTTGAGAATTATATGGTCTCAGATACACTAAGGTCCCAATTGGGACATATAAGATGAATATCTTAACAAGATTTTAGTGTATAAAAACTTATTATAACTGACGAATATTTTAAAATATTTTTTCAATAATTTTACAATGACATAATGGCAAGCAATGCAATAGATTAACGTAAATGGAGCACCTGATAATGGCACTATGTTGCCGAAACATGTTGTGAAGTGACAGGTGAAATTGAGTGCACTACAAGACGGACACAGCATACATATCATGGACCTGTATGGCTATATGGAAAATAAAGGAAATGAATGAATGAACCATAATGAACCTTGAGGCAGTACACACTTTGAAACCCAGTACAATGATCTGCCAAATATTCCAAACTAATGCTGCTGTAAAGAAAGCAGTCTTCTGGGATTTGGCACCGTGTATATGTGGTGTTAACCGACGTTTCGGAGGAACGTATCGCCCCCATCTTCAGGGTAGAAGAAAAAGTATAAGAAATCTGCAAGCGACAACACCGTGAGAAACGGTAAAGCACCACATATACACGGTGCCAAATCCCAGAAGACTGCTTTCTTCATAGTCACCGCCGTGAAAGCCTCAAATCTTACAATGCTGCTGTAGCCCACGCAACTCCTTACCAATCCCTTTTCACTCCACTAGTCATAATCATCTAATTTCATTCAGGCTACTTGAAGCCAACAGTTAACATAAAATCGTTACATAACTTCACATATTCTCTAGCAGTGTTCAACATCACTGACTCCACACAAACTCAGCAAGTGATATTGTCACACAATAGTGGCTGCTGGAAGGCCACAGGTTATAAACGGATTTATTTGACACTGACACTCTGTTTGCAATTAGCCACTTAGCTCCCCTGACTAAGTCCTTCAGCATTCTGCCCCAGGTCTGCCATCATAGATTTCCTCACTGGTCCAGTGACCGCCTCTGTGGTCTAGCGGTCAGCGTTCCTGGCTACAGATCCAGATCGATTCCCGGCGCTACCAAAGTTTTTTGGAGAAGTAGTGCATAGTGCGTCTTGAATGGGGTTCGCTCAGCCTCGTGATGATAACTGAGGGGCTATTTCAAGGAAATAGCGGCTCTGGTCTAGAAAACCGAAATTAACGTCCATGGGGATTTGTTGCACTAACCACGTGACATCGTCTATCCACAATAGTTGGCAATAAACTTCGCCGAGAAGCGGCGGTCTCAGTCAGTATAGTTCGCTTGTAGACTGAAATCATGGAGTTTGTCTGTTTGTCTGTCTGTCTGTCCAGTAAAATGCTGCTGGTCCTTGCCAGCAAGGTCTTTCTTAGTCTTGGGCCTACAGGACTCCCCCACTGATTTTGGTGTGTGTTTTTACACAACCCCAAGGTGCCTCCCCCAACAGCTCCTGACTTATATATGTGGTTGTTGCTGGTGACACATGTTTACGTGTTGCCTGGTAATGGGCATCTGTGTGATATTTCTGTAATTCTAACATTCTGTCACCATGTAATGTTGATCTGTAACTCAGGAATCAAGTACAAATGCACTAAAGAAACTAATTAACTACTGGAACATTTACCATATTGTATTAAGAGGCAGTAATGAATTCTGAGTTGTGTTAAGTCACATTCATTGTCAACAGGGTGAACATTCCTACTGTAGGGCTTTCAGCTGTTGCAGTTAAGTTTATCTGAAAATAAGCATGACAGCAGTAAATCTTCACCCCCCCCCCCAAGAAAATCCTTTCTGTGCCAATTGTTAGTATTAACAAATGTAAATATATCTGTGGATTTAATTTTTAAGAGAAGGACAGTATAATATTTATATATTTTACAACAATCTGTACATTACTGTATTGCAAAATACTTGTCATAATGCTAATATATATATTAAATAAATGAGACATTCACACTCGCACTATCACAGGCTGTGGCGACATCAGTTCCGGGTTTGCATCCCATTAATCATGATGTTTGCAAGGGCATTGCGCCGTCTCCTCCATGCGCCCATCCCTTGCGCATGGTACTGCAGCTGCCGGTACCACAGCTTGGTTCTTTCCCCATCCTCAGCCTGAAACAAACACATTGCAGCTAAATGTACTTAGTCCACATGACTGACTGACTAAGTACATGGAACTAAGTCCTCCTTGAGAAGACAACAGTTTTTTGACTACTCAAATAATTCTCAGCATTTTTTGGAACTCATATATGCATTATGTTTTATATTCTGGGACAAAACATCACACAGTTTGGTGAAAGTCAACTGGTGTTTCAGTGGAATATTTTGCCATCAGCTTCAGGGTCAGTGAATAAGCCACACAAGAAACTAGCATGAATCAGAGAACACGATTTGCTGGTATTCTGCTTGACAAATTCTTCGGCCCTGAAGATGGAGACAATATGTTCCTCCAAAACATCAGTTGACTTTCAAAGGACCACACAATGTTTTATCCTGGAAGACAAAACCCTTCATTCATTACCATGTTCACAATAGCCTGCCACTTTTCCCTAACCTGAACTAAGTGAATTAATAGTATCTTTAAGATCCACTTAATATTACCTTCCCATCTACATGTAGGTGTTCCTAGTGGTCTCTTCTCTTTAGGGTTTCTGACCAAAATTTTTCAAGCATTTCTCAATTTTCACATGCATGCTACATGTCCCACTCATCTTATCCCCTATATCTTCATCACCCTAATATTTTCAGAGGAGTACAGTTTCATTTGTATTGTCCTGTTACTTTCGCCCTCTTAGAACCAAATCTTCTGAGCACCCTGTTTGCGGACACCAACAATACATCCTCCTTTGTTACTGTGAGAGACGATTTCACCAATACAAACCGATGGTAACAGTGTGGTGCAACACATTTAATTCTCTTTGCAGGATACCTAATTCCAGGGTAATATGCTGACCTTAAAAATGAATGTGTCCTTAGAAATCAGCTCCTGGACTTCAAAATAATCTTCCCAGTCCACTTCGGAGCAAACTATACACTTGTCAAGGTACAGAGGTTCCTGAAATGTAAAAAGAAATATTGATGGATATATTTCACACTAAGCAATAAGAATATATGCAACAGATATTACCGATGTTATTCTGAATTTCAGACAATCCAGTTTGACTGGGAAGAAGTATACAGCTCATCCTCATTATGCACATGGGCTGTATTCCTGAGTGTATCGAAAATGAGTAAAACAGGAAATGCAGTGAACGGACATTGAATTATCAGCTGCATGTCCAACTGTCTGAACATGCATGACAGCTTCTACTGTGAATGTGGACACAACACTGATACTCCTCATGACACAGAAATAAAACCATGAATGTGTGAAAGTGAATAATAAAAGTGAATACGAGAGTCACCTGTATGCGTACATGATTTGACACTTTCAAGGCAGTTGTGTACAACAAAATATTCTCAGACAATAATCAGTGACGTGAAAATGGAAGTAGTATCCAATCACCAATATTTTGGAAACTGTCTTTGTCTCGATGATGAGAGATTAAGACAGAGAGACAGCGTCTGAAAGAATTAATGTGGGGCTGATCATCCATGAAGGATTCTTTGTAATATATTCATATTTATGATTATCTGTACAAATGTCCCTGTATGGGGAAGTAGAGGTACATCTTTATACATTCTTAACCATGGCCCTGGGTGGGGCGTGGTCAGTTTCGAAGCCTGGTCACTTTACTCCTGCGGAAACAATCTGTAGTATCAACTTTATATAGGGTGGGTGGCCCCAGAGCCAGAATGGATGCCGTGGAGAACTGAAAAATCACTGTCCCTCTTAGGAATTTAAGCCTACACTGACTGATGTACTCACATTGACATATTCACTGCACTGTGTCTAGAATATTTTTAACCATACATCATCATCATCATCAGACTGTGTCATATATGGTCATATCATTACTAAGTTATCGGAGGGTCGTGCCATAGCTCAAGCAGTTAGTCACTGGCTTCACACTGCAGCGGCGCGGGTTCGATCCCGGGTCTGGTCAAGTGGGATTTGTGGTGGACTAAGTGGCGCTTGGGCGGGTTTTCTCTGAATACTTCGGTTTCCCTTGCCAATCTTCATTCCACCAAATTCTCCATCATCATAATCACCCAGGGCAGGCTTCAATAGGCCAATCAGTGACCGCCGTGCCGAGTGGACCCAGTTGGACTCCACCCACCACTAAGTGAAGTTATTGGAGTCTATTTTTAACATACAGTAATAATAAAAACTGCCAAAACAGAGGTCTCATTCAACATACAGGACCTTTGTCCTCTAAGACTGTCTGCTCGGCATATGACATACCTTCAATGATGTTTTAGACAGACTCTAGCATTATTTTCATTATGATCATTATAATTTATCATAATCCTAGTTTATTCTTCCCGTAGACATCTTATAAATTCACATGTGAACTCACCCTGAGCTGTGTGTAGCGTCCACACTTCTCCTTCAGTAGCAGTAGAGTTGCCTCCCGCACACCAGTTCTCCTGGGGAACATGAGGACATCATCTGTGGGGTCAGGCCGGTAGTCTTCTGTTGGCTGTGAGCATACAAAATTCAGGCCTCGCCATTTATTGTCTGCTATCTGGTTCTCAACATTCCGAATGTCATGCTGTAACTTCAACATGAATAACCTCGCCATAAACATAAGAGCTTTGTCTTTACCCAAACATGAACATTCAGGAGGGTGTGGTCAAACAGAGTACCACTAATTTTATGTAGAGATCATGGTGATGGACATGGGTATGACAAGGAGGGAAGGGGCATAGGCATCTACCCCTTTCCCCATAGATTTATGGAGAATAACTCAGAACTGAGGAAGATAGGAAACATGAAGCTATTAATAACAAAAATTAAAAGTGTTGTGGCATGTAGCCCTGTTGCTAAGGAATAACAGTGAAATAAGCAACTATACAACTGCTGTTATGAGGCAGCAGCCTGTAAGCAGCATCAGAGGAACTGCGTTTTCTGAGCAGGCCATGCTACTGAACTATAGGCAACTATACTGACTGAACTAGAATCCGAATTCTCCACATGTCCAACCCTGGCAACTATACTGACTGAACTAGAATCCGAATTCTCCAGATGTCCAACCCTGGCAACTATACTGACTGAACTAGAATCCGAATTCTCCAGATGTCCAACCCTGGCAACTATACTGACTGAACTACCCCAGAAGAAGAAAGAAGGAGAAAGAAGTCTTAAAATGGACAAAGGCTGTTTAATTTTCATGAGAAGTATGCTGTTTCTTGTCATACCCAGATTGTTACATACAGAGTAAGAAAGCAATTATACCATGAAAACACACTCTAAAATCAGTAATAGCTCAAGAACTTTTCGCATAAAATGGAAGTATCAACACTGGCTATGACACTGCAGGCTTTGGCTAAGTTTTGAAGAAAGTTCCTTACCTTTCCATTTGTCACTAACAAGGCGTTGATTGGATTAAGCTTGATGGTACGTCCTTTCTTCCAATTACTGTCTGCTGGGTTTGTGTACAACAGCTTGCCTTCCATAGCAAACCTTACTTCATCATGGTTCCACTCCAAAATGTCCAGAGCCATCTATGGAGTGACACCAATGTTAATAAAACACAAAAAATAAATATGAGGCTTGTTTAAATGAAACCCAGTCAGGGATTGTTATGGTTGTAGAAGTAGAGCCAGTTGAAATCAATCCTCACGGACAGTGATGCAAGCATTCCATTGCCAAACTAGCAGATGGATCCCTTTGACAAATAATTCTCTATTCAGCTGCTGCTGCTGAAATCACTGCATCAATGAACACAGCTGATGATGAAAGTGTTTCATTTGATCAGTCCTCATGATAATAAAAATTATAAATTAAATATAAATTATAATAAAGTGATAAAGCATGGAGTATTCAGGCTGTAATTTGCATTCTTTGCATTTTATGAAGGTCTTACTCTCGTTTATTGCAAAAAATTCAGAATACAAATCTAATCAAAAGCAAAGACATTGCACTGCACAAAGACAAGAATTCTGTTACTGACAAATGTAATAAAAATTGCACAGCTGCTTATATATAACTAATGAATAAACTCTCTACAGTGATTGGTCGATGGGCTGTGTGAAGACGGGGTTAGTGTTCAACGTTTCTGAAGCTGTCTATGTTCCCATCATTAAGGAGTGATATCACAGTGGTCCTGTGACAAATATTAACAGGCACAACTGAGTAGGAAGTTTCCCTTCCTTACACCTGATGGTGGAAAATGTTTATTTTTGAAATGTTATAAAAAAGACAAAACATGTTGGACAATGTCCAATACTGTATTCATTACTACTATCCTAGTCTTGTGCCTACCTTCCTGAGCTTAATGTTTAACATGTCGGTTTCGCTACTGGACCTCCGGCCATTCATAATGGATATCCGTCGCCAGAGCCTGGTTGTACTGATATCTTTTGCCTCCTGTGAACACATATACAAAATTTAGTGTGAAATAAATATGATTTGATGGTTTGGTGCATCCATAGGTTGCGGAAATAACAGACAACATATGACACCCAAGTGTTCTGACTGTGAATTTGTAAAGACATTATTGTCAGTGTAGAAATTCTGAAAGCGTTAAGAGTTTACAGTATGACTGGATACATGAATACATACAAATATAAGGCAGGAAATTACAGGCAAAGGATTGAAGTGCCCTTTGTATTGACAAGAAGGGATGGGGAGGAAGTAGTGAAATAGCAAACATGGAAGAAGGGAAATAGATAAAAACAAAGAGACAAGAACACGATTTCTCGCCATCTACAACAACATAAAATCCAGACTTAGAAATAGAACTTCTATTGCATATATAAGCAATGACATTTACATCTGAATTTATATTATGCTACTGCAAAATATTATTATTTTACTGTGGGTCTTCCTATTATTCGTATGCATCAATTTCATGCCACACAGAATTTCTAGCATACAATCCATCACACAGTTTTCAATAACTGACAGAAAATCCAGGAACTTTTATATTCATTCACTTTAGGGACACTTCACATCATAAAATATTCTTCCTCTCATGAAGAGTCAGAAAATCTATGCTTATTATATTTTGATAACAGGAAGTGACTAAATATCTTTTGGTTGAAAATCACTTCTTAGAATTGTTCATTGTTTCAAGTTCCTATAACAATCAATGATACCATTAAAATGTATATAGAATGAGAACATGGCCACGGAATATGAGCAAAAACAAGAGTGATACAAAAGAAGGAATTTGTACACCTTTCTAGAAAGGTAAAAATGTTTACAACATTCTCTCATTTAGTAAATTTGATCAGACCTGTGGTTTTCATAGTAAACTGTGGTCCTGTTGGCACAAGTGGCATAATTTCTGATTTGTGCCCATGAGATTTCCTGTATAAATTTGGGGAAGAACACCAACTACCTTGACTGAGGATTCTGCACTTTTCCTCAAGCCTTCCAGGAATATATCAGGAAATTAACTGTAACCATTTCATCTCACATCCTTTCCAGTCCACTATTTACTATTATCAAGTAATTTAAAGCCATACAGCGTGAGTTATTGAGAGCATCATTATACAAAATACAAATAAATAAACACCCTGTAATCTGGAAAGTAGGTATCAATGTTTTGGAGGAATATCTGCCTACATCTTCAGGGTAGAAGTGAATACAGAGACAATATTCTTCTCCTAAACAACACAGTGTCATGACACAGAAAACCACGATATGAAAAGAAGTTCCATATTTTTAGTACCAAATTATCTCCCACACATTGCTGAATATAAATGTTTTTATATCTCATTTTTGAGTTACAATGTATTATCAACATACACGTATAACCTGAATTAGACATAACATAAATCACAAAGTGTCAAATTTAGAAGGTCTGAATTCCTTCCATGAATTTTGGTTGGATACCTATGGTTGAAATTATTATTACAAATACGAAAAGATGAAATTATCATACACAGGGTGTTTCACGACTTTAGGGCATAACTGCAGGAGGTGATTTCCTAGGTCTTTGTGATCAAAAAAGTTCATATAAACATGTGTCCGATTTTGGACGGTTACGGAGTTATGACCGTTTTAAACTCAGAATAGAAGGTAACGATTACTGACAATAAACGGAACAAAATAATAAACCAGCATAATACATGATACATTTAAAGTATGAATGTAAAGTTAACTTCGTGAAATTACCTTAATTTCAATTTATTGGTGCTTAAAGCTGATTTTCGAAAATGCCACTGCCAGTCACAACACAAGCTGCCGCTCGGTTGTGAACTGTGCAGGACATACCAACCCACCACGCCTTAGGTAGCTCTCAAGTGTCGAGATAACGAGAACGCTCTGTCTGTAGCTGGCTAAAAATAGCGACCCGCCAGCTGACAGACAAGGTTCACACAAGGGCATGTACGGGAATGAAAAAACGGTCATAACTCCATAACCGTCCAAAATTGGACACATGTTTATATGAACTTTTTTGATCACAAAGACCTAGGAAATCACCTCCTGCAGTTATGCCCTAAAGCTGTGAAACACCCTGTATACATGGATGAAGAAGAGTAGCCAAGGGTGGGATGGAATTATGAACTTACAAGCACAAAAATAATATCACTGAGAAATTAGAAAAAGGATTTTGAGGATATTTGACTCTGTAACCATTCTTGTATTCTTTAATATTGCACTTGTCTCTTTGGATGGATTCAGTGCTTACACAAGATTACTCCACCTAGGCATATGGTTCAGGGTTTGAACATGGAACTACATCTATTCTAAGCTGTGTTAATACATATTTCAAACTGAAAATTTACCACAGTGTCTCAGAGAAGGTAGGGTATGGGAAATCCATAGAGCCCTGTAAATTCAATAGATTTAGCTGGGTTACCGAGTTCATATGCTCCAGATGTAGCTCAATCTTATGCTGTGACTGACGGAGAATTTCCCGACTCTCGTGGTGAGCTGGAGTCACTTTGTGCAACCGTGCCAACAGGAGTGGATACTTGGTCACTCTCTGTACTGGTACCTGCAGAAAATAGACAACATTATACACAGTCTCACTTTGATACATAGTCTGTCATCCACAACAACACAAAAAAATGGTACTTAATAATAATAATAATAATAATAAACTTCTGAAATGTTATGAAGATTATGGTTGTCTGGGATGTGATGCCATGTCATTTGACAGACAGTTACCAAAATTCTAGAGAAATATGTTGCCCAACTTTTAGAGCCAAAACAATGGTACCTATCTACCATATAACACCAAATCACATTCCAGAAGTCATCAATCTTCATAGTCCCTGCTTTCAGGACCTCAAATATCACAGTGACCAGAAACGGTGGTGTACATTTGCTCATTTCATGCTTCTCTGGTGGATTCATGTTGAAGTTGGTTCTGGTCTTCTGTCCAGCATTGTTCAGATGTAGGAACTATTTCTGGCATTTCAAACATGAACTGGGCGTGTACAGCTATTCCATTGAGCATTTATTTGTATGCAGTTTATTTCAAGACACTATCAGTAACAACACTGTGTAGGGATAAGTGATAGGATGCAAAGGATTTGGAAGGGTGCACTTATGGTCTGATCAAGGTACTATCACAGCATTTGTCTGGAGGAACTGAGGAAGCTCACAAAAAGCTTCATTCAGGATGACTGGTTTCCCGGCCGACATGCGACCTGAATACCTAACACGAGTATACAGTGTTATCATTGCACCAACCAGGTCAGTGTCAGTAGTACAGGCAGATATTTCCCTGGGGGGGTTAAGCGATATCAGAATGAAGATAACGCTGTCTTGGATTTGAGGTTTGCACAGAGGTGACTGTGAAACATATTATCTACTGGAATGTGACACAACGTGGTGTTGTGGAAGTCCAAAATTTTCAGGACAGTATATTCTATCACCCATACTTCACTGTGTGATATTCCTCATGTCAAAAATTATAAGTACGTCATTCACAAGTTCTTTCTCTACACTAATAAAGCCAACACAATATGTGTACATTAGATGGTATAAGCCCAGTGGTTACTGTATGTAACACTTGCATTAACATACCAAAACTCGATATTCTTCTCACAGAGTATATTTGTGTGTTCCATATGGTTTTCATAATAAAAAGCGACTGTTTCCCTAAACAGCATTAATTGGCTTGGCTTTGTAGCGGAGACTTAATGTGTTTCCGATGAGGTATGAACTGAATTTTTATATATTATTTAGAAGAGATTCATTATTTAAAGTGAAGACTATAGAATTAATAACATTCTAATGCTGAAGTTAATGTTTTGGAGCTACTGCTTCGTATCTGTTAAGTTCAAAATTCGATCATTTGCCCGAAACCACTTATCATTTCCTTCAGTCCATGACAAATGTTGGATTAGAACCTTAAAATAGGCCACGACCATGTTTTTCCACATTCTTCTGAGTTTAACATTAACAATCACCTTTCCATTTGTCACTATAGTACATAAACTGTGTGGCTGAGGAAGCAGCCTGAAATAAAATATAAACAAGAAACATATATACAACCTCTTTATTAACCATCACAACACAACAAATATCAAGGTCAATGCCCAGCTGCTACATATATAACTTCTGTTTTATATAATCTGATTATTTGTATTTTTTTATGTCAAGTGTTTTATATGATTAATAGTATTGTATCCAGTTTAACAGTACTGCAGTTCAGTGGTGTTTAACCATGTATTTGCCTGATGATGGCTATTGATAGCCAAAACATGTAGCAGAGCCGTAGTTGGGCACTGACCTTGATATTTGTTGTGTTGTGACGGTTAATAAAGAGGTTGTATATTGTAACACAACAGAATGCATGAAATAATAATAATAAAAAAAGGAAACATATATGTCACCTCAAAGAAATTTAAACGTTTGAGGGAATAAGAATTTCTCTTTGAAACTTCGTAATCATTGTGTTGGTCACATGTTAAATTGCACTAAATATGACCTAAAAGTCTGTGAAGATGGTACATAAGTACAATGACAAATTTTCTGAAAATCATACATCATTGTAATTTCTAATTGAAACGACGTTTAAGAACCTGCAGAGAGGGGTTAACTCCATCACTTGGGCTCAACTAAGCAGGCTTCTTACCTGAGGACATAGAGTTCGGTCTCCGAAACGTGGTTTTAAATACAAATTAGGATTGTTGCGATAATAAAAGGTATATAATAAATTACATTGTATATAAGTGCTGTGTTGCCTCAATTTTTCTTACGAACCATAATATTTATTTTTAAACACTATCCCCCAACGAAAAGAAGGCCTGTCCATATGTACTGGAGAAGTTGAAAATACCGGTAACATTTTCAGATGACTCACCAAATTAGATGGTAGATTGAAGGTCACTGTATCCTTTAATTAACATTAAAATGGTGAAGTGTCGATAGGCTGTATCCACCATTTAACACGCCTTCTCTTCGTTACAGAATCGCATTTCTATCCTAGAATCCCGTCTTAGTGTTGAGAACTTCCTAGAGTCACTAGGTTTCCACTACTAAGAAAGTCATTTTCAAATTAACTGGCTAGGCGCAGAAAGGAGATCAAACTTCTTACCTTGCTGTACAGTGAATTAGTCAGTGAATTGCCTGTAAGGTACCTCTTCTTATAACTTCGTTACTTATTCTACTACAACCTAATGTCACTTCCCATAATTCAACACTAAAAAACTTTCCACTTTGCTGATAAGTGCGGAAATTGAGTACTTCAAGTTGCTGTTCTGTTAAGAGGCCTCGCAAGGATGTAGAAGTGTTTCTCTGGGGTTGACTGTGAACTCACTGATACGCTGAATTATGTTCGATTAAAATGTCACGGAACCGAATGATAACCTAATGACTTCATCTCAAGTCATCCTCTATTAATCGCATTAAAAAATAAACGCTGGTGCGTTCTGGGTTTGCTTTCCGGTGTTTCTTATGGAACGCTGATTAATATGTTTTCCTATTAATTGTAAACAGAAAGATTGTGATATAAATATATTTATTTATGGTTTATTTAAGAATACTATCATAACTTAATTTATATAGTAGAAAGATTCAGTGACTAGTGAATAATGAATTGGAAAGGATGTGAAAGGAGGCGGCCGCGGCCTAATTTAGGGCACTAACTCTGAATCTGTCCTGAGGAACGGCGGAAAGTGACAAGAAACGCGTCAGGATAACCAGTGCCCCAGCGGAAATTCGAACGAAGCACCTCCCAAATGCGACTCTGAAGCGTTACCGTCATACCAACTTGTTCGGTTCTTTCTTTCGCGCGAACTTCAACTCAAATTTCATCATTCTTCTTGTTACTTTCCCATATGGGCAGTATACAGGGCAAATGACTGTGATGACGAAAGGGCCAGTCTCAAGAATCTGACGGGGCTATAGGCCTACTTTTTGAGCCCCTCCCCTTCCCTCTGAACATGGAAAGTGGTTTTTGGTATGGCGTTTGCCTATCTGTACGTCTGTCTGTCTCTGTGTGTATGTATGTAAGTATGTGTGTGTTGTAATGTAATGTAATGTAATGTAATATAATGTATTTATGTATGTATGTATGTGTGTATATGTGTATGTATTTCTGTACGTATGTGCGCCTCGCTAGCGCCTAAACGTTGAACGAACTTTATTCATATTCAGAACCAAGTGTTCCTGCATTCATAAGTGAACATTCCAGACCCCCAAAATGGGGGTCTTCAGATGGGCACGGAAATGCGAAATGGCGAGTTTCTTGAAAACGGTTCGAAACATTTCGAGTATGCTGACCGCCACCCTAAATAAAGCTGCACAAGTGGTACCCTGAGGAAAATAACAGTTCACTCGCTAGGGGGGCCGAAATGCGAAATTCGATTTTGTCTAAATTGACACGGATTTGGTTGTTGTTCGATATTCAGTAACCAGCAATGGTCTACCATGAAGCAATCGATTTAATTTCCAAGGTTACGTGGACAATGTCATTGACGTGTAAGGAAGTGCGTGCAACGTCTCGGCGCCATATTTTTTATTTTCTTGTAGTTTACTTAGCAGTGCTGTCAGTGACCTGAGGCTATACTGCGTTGATTGGTTGGATAAGTGAATCATGAATTGGCAAGGATATGGAAGGAGGTGATCGTGGCCCAATTCGATGTAGTATTTCGGAATTTAGCTGGAGGGACTGAGGAAAACTATAGGACCTCAAGCAGGATAATCGGGCTCCCGACAGAAATTCGATCCAGGCCCGTATGGGATATGGGTCAAAAGCAGTAGGATCGTTAGGCAGAACATGACAAAGAACTTGGCAGGAGAAGGCGAATCCTTCTACCAGAGTTTGCCAGAGAGACAAGCAGAGGGGGTCAGACTCTCCGTAAGGTCGAATGGCAATGTCCTTGCTCGTACTCTCTTTTCTGAAAACATCATTACACAGGATTTTATTGGATATCACGCATGGAGCTTAGCCCTTCTTGGAAAGCCGCCAATTGTGCAGCTACTCAAGAACATCCAAGGATTTTATGAAACCCGAAAGTTCATTACCGTGTTCAAAAGAGCCCTCCACTGGTCTCTATCCTGAACCAGATCAATCAAATCCATACCATCCCATTCTATTTCTCTAAGATCCATCTTAATATTTTCCACACACCTACGCCTTTGTCTTCCCAGTGGTCTCTTTCCTTCTGGCTTTCTCACCAATATCCTACATGCATTCCTCTTAGGATTTTATTATATAACTCTTTTATACCCTAAAAATATTAAATTAATTTGTGAACTGATCTAAAAACATGAGCCGATTGTCTAAAAAATATGGGAACCTCAACATCTATGGGCCTCCACGGCCTGTTACAGGGATACCTTTACTTTACTGATCTAACAAACTAACAAACAAGAACTAATTTGAAAGCAACAGACAACATCTGAACGGGTCACAATGAAGGTAACTCTTCTGCCTGAGCGGATGGAAATATATGGCGTGTAGCCTAGATCACAGCTGACCTGGCAACTCCCACAGCGACACGTTTTGAAGGTGTTCATTCTCAAATGCCGAAATGTATTCGTATGTGTTGCGTCTTCGTTTGAAAGCTACCATGCTGTTTGCAGTGCGTGGTGGAAACCCAAACCATCATACCGGAGTTCTAGTTATAGGACTTGTCTTCTGCGAGGTTGCTTGTGACGTAGTTTCAAAGATGTCTGAGACAGACTTTATCATCCACAAGTTATTGGTCTCTCGTTACAACTCGGTCGGTTTTGTATTCCGAACACACGGGAACTATGAGGCCGCATGAAACAATGTGAGAGGGGTGGGTCCTTGACACACTACGGTACATAAACACCGCGTCACATGTGCGTGCAAGACAGTGCTAACAGCCCAGCAACTGACCAAAGGCTGGGTGGGAACTTCAGCCAAACGTGTATTTTTAATGTACCACAGTATTCATCGGGGGCACGCGGTAGCATAATTGATTGGGACAGTATGCTACAAGTCGGAAGGTCGCGGATTCGATTTCCGATAAGGTTGTCGGATATTTCATTTGACCTAATCCTTCCAGCCGCATTATGGCCCTGGGGTCGACTCAGCCTCTAACAGAAATGAGTACCAGGAATATTTCTGGGGGTTAAGGGCTGCTGGCGCCATCTGTAAGAAAATGTGGGAGCCTCGACATCTCACAACCCTATAGGCCTCCACGGCCTGTTACATGGATAGCTTTATTTTCTTACAGTGATGATTGAGTAGAGGTCTGTTGTACTTGGCACTTCAGATTGAATAACTGCAGGGCTCCTGTGAGTAATGCAATGGCAAATCGGGTTCCATGAAATGACGAAAATTTTGGAGGATAATTTAAAACTATTGCCTTGTCGAGAAGGACTCCAATCTATGGAACTGAGTAGATCGTTAGTTATTTACATCTTGTGGTATGTGACGTGTAGGTTGGTAAATAGATTCCAACATTTTTTAGGAACCTTCTGCCCCCATTTTCAGGGTAGAAAACAGCGATCTTTTATTATTGCTAGTGGGGTGGGACTAAGTCCTTTGCACTGAGGCCACTTCTGGCCTATTGTACCAGCCCCAGATGATAGGTGAGGGTGATTGTGGAGCAATTCGTGGAATGAAGATTGTCAGGGGAAATCGAAGTACTAGGGGAAAACCTGCCCCAGCGCCACTTTGTCCTCCACAAATTCCACTTGACCAGAACCGGGATCGAACCTGGGCCGCTGCTGTGGGAAGCCAGAGACTAACCGCTTGAGCTATGGCGCGGCCCCTGAACAGTGATCTTAGAACAGCGTCAGTAAATGACATCCCATATCAAACCGAAGGTACCTCGCAAGTTATGATGGTATCAGTATCTAGAATGGAGGATAATATTAACCTGGATCTTAGAGGCTACGTGTCGGTGGAAGGCCCTTTGGAATACTGTAATAAACCTTCAGTTTAATAAAATATTAAAAATTCTTGAGTTGCTGATCCACCGGCGGCTTCTCAAGGACTCAGTTTAACGGAGTGCAGTTAGTTCCCGGGATGCTGAACATATCGGTTCATGAGATGGAACGAGGGATGAATAAAAGGTAAAATGTCTCAGTGCTTAATTAATTAGGCACTGCGCCATGAAGGCGTATGGGGGAGTGGGTGTAGAGATTCTTGACCTCGGCACTAGTTGGACGTGAGTGGTTGGCTTCACACTCCGACCGATATACCCCAGAGGAAAGGGTCCCGGTACTCAATGAATAGGAGGCTGAGCGGACCCCAGAACCGGTCTGGACGCTGGGAAGAAGAGAAAAATCTTGCCCCTACCAGGACTCGAACTTCGACCTCTCGATCGTCCAGCTCGTAACCAGTCGCTATAACGGCTGAGTTATCCCGGCGATGAACTGGAAAGGACTCATGAAGAGACGGTCCGGCCTAATCGAAATTTGGTTGGTGATACTGAAGAGAATCACGGAAGACCTCAGTTTGGATAGTTTGTGTCCTAACCGAGATCTGAAATGATGACGTTGCTAGTAGAAGTCTGGAGAATTACCGCTACGCGAACCTGCTCACTGAAATCTCAGAATTTTGATATGGTAATATTTGTTTTTTATTCCATCCGAAACCTAGAGATATAAGCGCTAACAAAATGATTATACGTTGCAGTTTTAACTCCTGTTTCTCATGAACTGCTACCAGTTTTTACTGCCGTTCCACAAACTTCTCCATTCGATCTTAAGATCGCGTGCCTTCTAGCGTTTCCCAGGCATGTTTCAGCATAACATGGCCGGCAGTTAGGCGCACGATAGTTCATCAGAACTATTTGCATTGTAAAATAGAGCCAGAGGCGAAGCCATGCGACTGGCCTGTGGAGCTCAGTTTGTTGAGAGCCTTAATTTCTGGCCCCTTTATTATATTCCGTCTGCTATGGGAGGAAGGGTGCCTCATCTTCAGCTAATGATGCAGAATATTACGTCATCAATACACACTTTTTTCTTTTCCTTTGGCGCTACAGCCCTCATTTTGGGCCTAGGCCTACCTCCATGAAACTCTCCGTTTCACTTCGGTTTACTAGATCTTAGACATACGGCAGGACTCCTTGGGCACGTGATTAGCTCGTCGCAAGGCCTCTACCTGTACACAAACATCCATGCCCTGAGTGGAATTCGAACCCACGATCCCGGCTTCCGAGCGAGCGAAGACAGTGCATGCCTTAGACTGCTCGGCTACCGTGACCGGCCAATAGACACTTACTAGTATCAAATTAATTCACAATCTCACGTGCAACACGTCTTTCTGCAAAACTTACTAAAATTTATTCATTTAAAAGTTTTACGCGTCATATAATTTTTAACTTATTAAAATTATTCACAACATGTTTCGACCTGTGAGGTCTTCATCAGTTTTTTAAAATTATACATTTTAAATGAGAAAACTGCTGTGCTTCCATTTCGTGGATTTTGGCGGTTACTATGCGGTCCCTTCTATGTGCACGTACATTCGAAGCGGCAGGTTGTGCTGCCTGTTGTGTTACTCAGCACGTCCATCTTGCTAATGATACTAGATTCCATTTGCAACATACTTGCAGTATTAACACACCAATTGGAAATCCAACCATAATTACACAGGACCTTACTTTCATAAACTTGCCTACCCGAGGCATGACGTACTCTCTCTTGTAGACTGGACGGATTATACACGGTGAATATGGTTTTGATACGTCACTGGAGTATTCCTTCTGTATCAAGTTCAGACATGTACACAAATGTCACATGTCACACATGTCATAATATGTTGGTTAATAATAATAATTATAATAATAATAAACCCTGAATTATTATTACATTGCTTTTTCACAGAAATCCTCACAAAATTTTAGTATAACCCTATCACAGAAAAATGGTCCACTCTTTGTTATTATGGTCACTCATTATTATTTAAAAACATGCAGATAAAATGTTATGAAACGTATGGTATAACTTATGATTTCTGGAATTCAAATTTCTCGTTCCCAAATGCCGAAGATTAATATTTGCTGGGAATTTTGAAACAGTAAGTTCTACTGACTTACCATGAGGAAGGAGTTGAGATTCATACGTCTGAGGACAGCATTTTCCATCTGTGACACCCTGAGGAATATTCGTAGCAGCTCCTTTTCTTTCTCCAGGTTTGCAAGCAGCAGAGAAGCTGCACCCTGCATAAGACGGACAACTTACATATTGGATTTGATGTTCCCACCACGGTGACTATGAAGAGTAAGTGCTCTGTCTTGTAACACTGAGTAGTTTAGAGAGAACATATTGCCTACATCTTTAGAGTCAGACAGCTCAGCTTGCTGTCTGCTTCTGCTGGTTTCTTGTTTGTTTTACTCTTCGACCATGAAGATGTAGGAAATATGTTCCTCTGAAATGTCAGGTTCTCTCTCAATAACATGCACCGTACTCTTCAACTTATATCTCAGACCAGGGTTTTCAGCTTCAGACTACTGATACCTACCTTTAAGCCATTATAGAATAATTGATTTTTTTTTCCAATTCACCAATACAAAAATTTATCCTACAGTAAGCATATAATCTAGAGTAGTACTACTTCTATAATATTCTAAGATATTTATTAGGTGTCACATAAAATCAATTGAAAAATTACTTGGAAAATATAGCAATCAATTTTAGTAAAGTTATTTTGATAAGAACTACTGTGTTCCTCTTTAACAAATGGAAACTGTTAACATATATTCTAGGGAACAGAAGGTTTGTGATGGATTGCATGCAGTCTGAGGGTTGGACATCCCTGGCTTAGAGCAATGGATTTGAAACATTTCACGCCTTATACTTCCTGGAAACAGTAAAACAATTCCCTGGATCTCATTGAGGAATAATTTGGAAAATGAACAATAATCACTTTTATATCTGCCATACACATTAGCTACGCACTTGAGCCAGTTTAAAATAGTAAATAGATAATTTTTTTAATGGCAATGCTGAAAATGAGGGTCAAGCTGCTTTGATACCCCTAGGGGTACAGGTATCGCAGTTTGAAAACTGTTCCTCAGAGCATTTACAATATCTACTGACTGTTATAAAACATTTCTGAATTTACAACATCTAAAGCAGCAACTTTACAGAAGATGACAGTCTTGTTTGTGCAACAAGATTGCTGGCATGGCAGTCTTGGTTTCCTTTGCATGCTGAAATCAGAAACTAGTAACCTTAAAATGATGACACAATGCTACGGTCACTATCTGACAACACAGCCTCAAAAATATTTTAGACACAGTATACACAGCAAACTGCACAATAACTTTAATTTTTATAGGCTAGTCCACTATTTTTTCATGTGTCTTGACTTAACAACTCTTCATAAAAATGCAGTGATTCAGAGGATCAAAGTAAATAACAGTGTAAAAATTAACTTCTTGGTTCCATTGCATATTATTGGGAAAACAGTTTAAGTTATTGTTCCACTGAATAACATATGGCATCAGAGTGCTTAGTAATGTTTACAATGCATATAATATTGTTCTAAAAAATTACATGTTTTCAGCTCAGTATAAATATTCCTCAGGAAAGCAAAGGACTCTAACCTGAAGTTCATATCAAGCATGAAAACATCACTGTTGAGTTTCTGTCTTCAGAAATAATGACATTATAACGTACAGTTATGAATCTGTTTTGTGTTACAGTCTCTGTTTGGTTCTTTGTACCATGTGGATGTGGGTAGTGTTACTGATGTTTCAGGGGTACCGACTGCCTCAATCTCCAGAAAGTGACTCAGTGTTCATTTACAGGTATATAGGTTTTGATCCAACAGACTCATGGGGATGCCTGGGGGTCCAGTCTGAACACCAACCTCAATTATCTCCAATGTTTCTCTAGGACCAAAATCTTAAAGGCATTTGTCTGGATGGATAGAGAAAAACCAAGAAATCCTCAGTCAGGAGAGACAATGTCCTGACGAAGATTCATACCCAGTACTGCCTGAATGCAAGTCTAGAGCATAGCACTAGACCAACCTGTTTGGTGGTAGGTGAAGTTGTGTTGCAAGAAAAGAACAACCATTTACATCATCTTACAACATCATCTCTGACAAACAACTGCCAGCACAATGCAAGATCCATTATTCTAAGGTAACATAAAAGTGGACAAGACATAAAAACCTATGCATATGGACTCCAAGTGACCAGAGTGCAGACAGTAGTCAGCAACCTCATTGAAGTGTGAATCATTCATGGTCAAAGACCCCATATATTCAAGTCATGTGACTTGTGACCAAAGAGCTTACTTCTTTTGTGGTTCATTTTATGATGCTGTCAGTAGACAGACTGTGCAGCATCCAGCAATAAAATATCTGATGAATTTTGAATTTGAAACGTATGGAAGAAACTAGTTATGACTTCATTGAGATACTGTCCTGAAATTTGTCTGGAAGGACCAAGGGAAACAATCAAGATATCCTGTGCCCTGGGAAACGTTTGAATCAGTAACCTCCTAAATATAAGTATATGGGCGTTACTGCTATGGCAACCTGTTTGATCAACAAAATATTTAAGAAAAGTAAAGTAATCCTTGTACTAAATATGAAGCATGTCATGAAGACAACTTTTGCTGAGGTTGTCACGTGATCAGCGCAACAGTGTTCTATACTGGAGCCTTTTTTCCTTGACATAGCTCCTCAGTTATCCCCATGAGGCTGAGTGCATCCCGTTCAGACCCACTACTTATCAGAAAATCTTATAGCACCGGGAATCGAAGCCAGGACCTCTGGATCTGTAGCCAGGAACTCTGGCCACTAAACCACAGAGGCGGTCACTAACTTTGCCAAGAAGCGGCGGTCGCTCAGTCGGTATAGTTCACTTGTGGACTACAGGCCACGGAGTTTGTTTTTTTGTCATGAAGACATAAACCTTGTCTGCTCCATTTCAATCAATGACCCAACCACTTGAAGCTCTTCCTCCTAATTTCTGCCACCTGGGCTCACATTTGCATAAAATGCACATAGGTCATTTCTGTAAATGTAGAGCTATTTTTAGTTTTAGGAATGGTATACCTTATTGAATGTGATGGGGTGCGACACATGATACTTATAGAAGTACCTGGGTTATTCATGTACATGTAAAGCTATTTTTAATTGGAGGTATAATATATCTCATTAAGTATGATAGGGTACATCACATGCTGCTGCTCAGAAAGTATAAGTCATTCTGTTGATTAAAGAATTTTGGCTTAGGGTACAGCAGACCCCATAGCAAATATCGTGGGAATGTCATAACCCATTACAGGTAGTCCTCCATTTGTGAAAGTAATCATTTCGTGAAAACTGTTCATAATGTGAAAACCTGTAAATAGAAGAGGACATTCCTGTTCATGATTTGTTTATTCCGTCTTGCAGTGCATACACTTATCTATCTTCTTCTCTCACTTTCACTACATGTTTCGGCATAAGAATGCCATCTTCAGGTGCTACTCAATTCACGTCAAACTAGTACATTGTATGCCTTGTCTTCACTTTAAAATAACTAAAATATATGTCCATCATATATATTGACAAATGTCAATCGTAAAAATATTAAAACTGTTCAGGGTTCCCGATCGCTACGTCGTATCTTATTACGGCAGTCCTGTTCATCCTACTCTGTTGGAGCTCTTCTTCCCTATCGTGTATATTGTGTTTCTGTTGCGTCTTGTTCTCGCGACTGCGTGCGTTATGCTGTTGGGTCTGCTGGGTATGTGTGTGTGCAACAGGACGCTAAAATATAACATTGAGGACATTCCTGTTACTTTACATGTAAGAGTTATTGAACTTAAAGTATGCTGTAGTGAAAATGTTGTCCGTTAAGTGAAAAGTAGATATAAATCAATATGCTTCATTGTAGCAAATATTCATAAACTGAGTGTTCGTAAAACAAGGGATACCTGCGTATGTGTCACTCCTCGGCATGTATAACAATTTTGGACCTGGGGTATGATACTTCCCAAGGCCTACCCATTTGGTTTGTTCGCTCTCCTGGGTACTAAGCATTCTCTGGATGTCCTTCTACGACTATTTCTATCCACTTACCTGTCGTATGCAATAGGACTCAAAGGCATGAAGCATGGGAGACGCCTCCAGAAACAGTTTCCCAATGTTGACTGTCAACAAATCTTCATCTCCCTGCTCCAGGGCAATCTCCATATTATCGCGGAGCTTCTCTGCCAAGGCAGCATTGTGTTCAAGAAGTTCCTCAACGTTCAGGAAGATGGCATTTAGCTGGTCAGGTGTTAGCAGGCCTGCCACAAGCATTGGTCTATAGAACTCATCCATGATAATATGGAGGTCCCGACCATATTTCTCCTCTGTTTCGACAATCTCTATGATTATTTCCTTTCTTTCAGCTCGCTTCTTTCCACACTTGCGGCACACCAGAGGAGCAAACATCACACCACTGTCAGTAACCTGATGAGCAACAAGTAGAATTCATGAACCACAGGATATTGTCATTCACAGAGCAACTTAGTTCAAGGAGCAATGCTTCAGACATCTATTCACAAAGTCATCAATTTGAATCTCAGCTGGAAAACCAATGTCTTCATTTAGGTTCGTTGTTTTTTCCCTTTCAATCCCTCCCAGCAGATGTTATCAACGCTACAAATTAGGCCATGACCACTTTCAAAACTTTCCAATCCATTATTCACTATTATTAAAATATTCAGTGCTATATAGTAATAATCTAAGCTGCAGATAGGATCATCAAATAAATTACAAATAAATTAATGAAATATCCATACATGTGGGAGCTCTTGACCACAAAAACAATTTGCACAAATATATATATTTTTTTGGTATACCTATCAAACACAACACTCAACAAAATAACTCACTTTCACTCTCTCATGTCAACTGTGCTTTTATTGGATCACATTATAGCATGTAATATATGAACCCACATAAGAATCACAATTCAATAATTTAAGACTTGTAAACTGTATCACCTGACGATGGCTCCATGAGAACTGAAACATGTTGTGACATTATACTTTAATCAAATAGAACTCAGATGACACAATAGAGTGAAAATGAGTTATTTTAATTGATTGCTGTGCTTGACAGGTACGCCAGAAAACATACATACGTACAGTGATAAACACACAACAGGATGTATTCCATGAAGATAATCTACACAAAACCTGACATATTTCTCATGACTGACTGACTGACTGACTGACTGACTGACTGACTTTGCTAACTAACCATTTAAGCAACTAATATAGCAGAGTATACAAAATTCCATAATTTTCTAAATTATTTATTAGGTGTCATATGATATCAATAAGAAAATTATATACAATATTTTGTGAGAACTTTTCCTACAGCTTTTCTGATGATCCGCCTCCTCTTTGAAGCAGAACAAAATCCTGACACATATATTTGGGAATAGGAAAGTGTTCTCATGGGCTGCATGAAAACAACTGAAGACATCCATGCAGAGCTTGACAGCCCTGTCCAAGGTTATATATTATGAATGTAGGTCCCATTCCAACTTCGTTCCCAAATTTCGGGTAAGAAACCCAAAATCTAATACATCTATTAAATATCAGGCAAAGACATAAAATAATGCAAAATAAGTTGCACCAGGCACCTGTGTCTCAACTGGCTGGTCACAATCTTCACAGAGATGTTGCTGGTCTTCCCGGATGCTACTAGCAGGTCCACAGTGCTGCCATCTACTGCGGCTGGATTTGCTTGTTTCTGAACCCACTCCTGAATCATTTCTTTCAATTTCAGCTGAACTCTTCCGCACCTGCAAACAATTACACATAATAATATTACTGAAACTGAGACTGTATATACTGTGAAGGCAGCACTTACCCTTTTCCATGCTCAGCTTTGAGGTCTAATTAATACAGTGTATCAAAGGAAGTGTATAAGAAAAGTACATAACCTAACTTTACGTTACTTCAGATGCTCTAACCTAACCTGATTTACACTAGGCTAGCCTCACCTAAACTCACCTGTTAAGGCAAGTACGTCTGTAGAACCGTAAGTGTTAAATGAGTTTAGAGGTACAAATACCACCCTTGAAATACAAAGGACGACATAGAGAAGGATTTTTTGTCATAATTTTCGGTTAGGAAATAATACATTGGTCAATATTAGCACTGGCAGATTTCCGTTAACTACCTTAATCTTTTCGATTCTATCAAAACTGGCGGTAAGGCCCAGTCGCCCAACAATGCAATGGTCACATTTTCTCAGGGAGTAATGAGGCCGGAACGTGAAGCTAACCATTTACTTCCATTTAGTGCAGAAGTTTATAACGGAGCTACACATCCACTACCCCATACTTACTTACATACTTACTTATGGAACTGAGCCCTTCTTGAGGAGCCGCCAATTATGCAGCCACTCAAGAATTTCCCAGCATTTTATGGAACCTGAAGGTTCATTACCATGTTCACAAGAGACTTCTACTGGTCCCTATCCTGAGCCAGATCAATCGAATCCATACCATCACATCCTATTTCTCTAAGATTTATTTTAATATTATCCACCCACCTACGCCTTGGTCCATGTGTTTTCAAAACTTGGTGTTTAATTAAGTACCAGAATAACATTAGTCTGAGTTATGGAGAGTGTCTTTAAATTAACTACAAAAAGTAAATAAACATATCATACAGGTCACACTGGCATATCAGCAACAATTCGGTCATCTGGAAAGAACATAAATGCAATCCCCTTTTTACCCCATTTGTCATGTTGTTCATATTTTTTCCCTCCGCAACAGATACGCATTGACGTTACAGAGGTGAGCAGGGACATTTTTTGCCTATTTATTTACTGGTGTAGCACCCGTTGAAAATTCAACGGGAAGGCTCATCGTTTGTTACATTAGCTTTCGTACTAGTAAATTTCTCTATTTTCTCCCATATTCCTTCCCAGTGCTGTTATGGAATGACGCGTAAATGGCGAAAATTAAAGCCACCTCCCACGAATAACACACACAAATAGTCAATCTAAATCATCTCCTTTACATAGTATACTAAACTTGACACCGGAAGGTCGCGGGATCGAATCCCGATGAGGTGGAATTTTTCAATTTACCTAATGCTTCCAGCCTCACTATGGTCCTTGTGTCGACTCAGCCTCTAACAGAAATGAATATCAGGTATATTCTTGGGGGGTAAAGGGCGGCCGGCGAGTAAGGCTGACAACCTTACCGCCATCTATGAGCTGATTGTCTAGAAAATGTGGGAACCTCGACGTCTCACAACCCTATGGGCCTCCACGGCCTGTTACAGGGATACCTTTACTTACTTACTTACTTACTTACTTACTTACTTACTTACTACACTTGACATATTCATATGGAAACATTACCAATATTCACAGAATAGACACGATGCAATGAAGCAAAAACCTGTTTGCTCATTCGTGACCTATTACGTAAATAGTGTTCATGATGTGTTAACGTTCGACAAGTCGTTGCTATGGTAACCCGTGATAACAATAACGAATCTAGTACAAAAATTTGATGTGCGTATAGTGGGATATTATTTCCTTCTCTTCTCAGGTTACACACCCAGGGCACACCCAGCCTCCTATCCAATGGGAACCGAGGGCTGTTCCCCCGGGGGTAAAGCGGCTGGGGAGTGAAGCTGACAACTCACCTCCATCTAGTGCTGAGGTCAACAATGGTTGAGCTATACCTCCACTCCCCCATAAGTCTTCATGACACAGTGCTTAATTAATTAAGCACGGGAACAAATTTATGTATGCATTCACTGACAACATTATCAGTAACTCAGATTAAATAACGCCGAAAATTATGATAAACAGTAACTAATTAATTGCAGGGATAAACAAGGAAGCTGTTGCAGCACAATTTGAAGTATTACCCCATCAGTTGCTTCGAGGAGTTAGAAGAAACACGGATAACTCTGGCAGAATAGGATCAGGACTCAGGTTTCAAACCCCGATCTCCCGCATAGGACTCACGAATGCTACCCACTCGACAGCAACGTATGCATAGTGAACACCCCGTATATGCTGTAGTTCATGACCGTTATAAATGAATTAGGAACTTAAACTCCGACAGCCGGTCGCAGTGCTTCAGAAGAATCAACCTGAAGACGCGGTTGACTAACCACGCGTGAGATCCGAGCCAGGCAAAGTGACCGAGATAGATACGGAATGTTCGAGTAGTACAGTCATACTCCGTTTAAGGTTAACCTCGTTTAACGCTCTTTATTTTGGGACTAAATTTTGTAAGAACCGGTCACGGTGGTCGCGTAGTCTAAGGCTTGAACGCTGGGATCGTGGGTTCGAACCTCACTCAAGGTATAGATGTCTATGCAAGTTTACTGTGTGTGTAGGGTGAGTCCTTGCGACGGTCTAATCCCCCGCCCAAGGAGTCCTACCTAATATGTATAGGATTAAGGAGGAGAAAAAGAGGCCCAAGTCCATAAGGGCTGTAGAGCCACAAGCAGACATAGTTTTCATAAATTACAATATTAAGAACTATTTCCATAACCAGTATATTCAAATGACCCCGGATATCGCTGATTCAGTTACAACTCTCTTTTCCGAGAAAGTGTATTATACAGATTTTTGTGAGTAAAATGTGTCTTGTAGTTGGTGCAATAATTGTGAGTAATTTTCCATTTTCAAATTAATCTTTACTCTCGTTAATGATGAAATCTACACTCTGCAACCTAACCCATTATGTCTATCGGTAAAACTGCGAACTAAGAGTATGCACAATCACCCACTTATTTTTACAAACCGAGAGTAAGTGTTAATGAGAAAACAGTGTTTATATCGAAGTGGAGGGGTCACTGAGAAAGGTGATGTAACAACATTTTATAACTCTCTGTCATGTCTATATTTCCCTGTGTACAATGTGTGCTGGGCTGTGCATGGGAACTATGAGTGAGTAGGGCCGCGCCATAGCTCAAGCGGTTAGTCGCTGGCTTCCCACCGCGGCGGCCCGAGTTCCATCCCGGGTCTGGTCAAGTGGGATTTGTGGTGGACAAAGTTGGGCTGGAGCAGATTTTCTGCGAGTACTTCGGTTTCCCTTGCCAATCTTCATTCCACCAACTGCTCCACAGTCACCCTCACCTATCATCTGGGGCTGGTATAATAGGCCAGAAGTGGCTGTTTCAGCGGGAGTAAAGCGGCCGGGGCGTGAAGCTGATCATTCACCTCTAGCTAGCGCCGAAGTCAAGAAAATGTGGATCTATACATCCACTCCCCCATACGCCTTCATGGTGTAGTGCTTAATTACTTAAGCACAGGAACAAATTAACCTTCTATTACGCCCCCCCCCCAAACTGTAAATCCGCCACTGAACACAGATACAACTTAATTTGTCTTCATTTGCTTCCATGCCTGCACTGAATACATTTCGACCACAGAATTTCCCATTTTGTACTCCTAAATACCTCCAGTAATCACTGAGCAGCTTAGGTTTTGAAGTAAGGTTATCAATTTTTTTTAGGATGGATTCTCTTTTCAAAGGTTCAAAATAACAACGGCAAACATGTGTTGCTACCAAGTGTTAATGTATAAGCATTAAATTCGTTACACTTAAACGGCCGTAGTCCTTAACGATATGTTTTTGCATGCAATACAGAGAGTCATCATGCCAGGGGCAAAGAAAAAGTGTTCTGAAAGTGACGTGAAAGTTGCAGTCCGACGAATTTCAGGGGGCGGGTGGACATTGTGCAAGGTTTCGAAGGAATCTCACAGCGCTCTGAAGGAAAGGCTGTTATTCTCATGTCCGGAGCCAATAATGAAAGAGGCAACGCCGTTTCACGTGACCTCGAAAGACGACACTGAATTAATTAGCTACACAACTGAGATGCAGTTCATTGTTTTCGGGTCTCATGCAACAGATTTGGCGCGTATGTGTCTAGCATTTACTTACTTACTTACTCATGGAGCTGAGCCCTCCTTGTGGAGCCACCAATTCTGCAGCTACTCAAGAACTTCCCAGCACTTTATGAAACCCAAAGGTTCATTATCGTGTTCACAAGAGCCTTCCACTGGTCCCTATCCTGAGCCAGATCATTCCAATCTATACAATCCTATCCTATATCTCTAAAAAACATTTTAATATTGTCCACCCAACTACGCCTTGATCTTCCCAGTGGCCTCTTTCCTTCAGGTTTTCCACCAATATCCTATATGCATTCCTCTTCTCCCCCATTCGTGCCACATGCCCTGCCCACCTCATCTTCTTTGACTTGCTCAGTCTACTTATACTTGGAGAAGAGTACACGTTATGAAGCTCCTCATTATTCAGTTTTATTTGTCTAGCATTCCAAGGAAAAGTGAAAGAATAAAGAAATTTTCAGTACTGTACCCGATTTTGCATATTTTGTTGTTTTAAAAATCCGCATAAAGAGTGTGGATGTACAGATACTGGCCTTCGAAGATCTCTTATCCATTCAAATAGATTTATTCTTACATAAACATATATATTGCGAAATTAGTCTTGATGACACTGCCGAATTACCTGTACTTTACAATAACATTACTCCCCATTCTTAATCTTAATAGTTTCTTCGACATAATTATGCTCATTAAGTTGTAATCTTTGAAGCTGTATAGGATAATAGTTTAAGTATTAAAAACTGTCTGCATGCTCGGTTCATTTAAACCTTAGTACAGCGAAATTGGCTGAGATTATCCTGTATACTCGCACTGTGACGTATAGCTCCACTGCTAGGCAACGGTTCGATGAACACGTTCCCGCGAGACAGATTCTTGGTAAACAACCCCTTGATAGGTAATGCTTACAACAATACGAGACAATAGCAGATGTCCATTGCTAAGTAATGAACGTGTTTTCCGTGAGGTCAGACCAGAGGCTTTGTAACTGCGGCTCTGGCCCCAGGAGGAGTGGGGATATCAGGCCTGAGTGAGTGACACCCCCGTGTGGAGGCGGGGTCGAATACCTCCACCGTGACCCTGCGAGTCGTAAGAGGCGACGAAACGGGAAGTCTCAAATCTGAGACAGTAAAATATGGTCGCGAGTCCCAAGGGACTCAGACCCGAGAAAGACCGCTCTAGCAAGGGCTAGCAGTATATACAAAAGACAGACCCGTCCTCTCGTCAGAGAGGGCGCCCCACAAAATTAAGACCGTTAACTGTCAAACGGTAGTAATTAATATCTGGTCATGAGCCCCAGATGGGGCTCGACACCAAGACTTATTGAGTGACTGACCGTCAGTCGCAATGTGACTTTGACTTGGAGGAGGAGTGGATTAGTGTAGTGTGGTCAGAAGTCGAGAGTGCCCAGTAGAAGATAGTGATCCGTGAAATGCTGTAACAAACTGCATAAAGGTCCAATAAATTCGATCATCAAATTAAAATCCCGTCTTATTAGTGACCCAAACCCCTAATATGTGACAATACTAATAAGTATATCTATATTACTTTACATACGTTCCATTTTAAAAAGGTAGTTTCATAATTTATTGTAATACTTTGCTGGCCAAATGGAAGTTAGGTTACTTTTCAGTAATAAATATCTTCAAATAAATGTCTCTTTAAAAACATCTGTTTTATTATTTATTATTATACTGGGATGTGTATGTGTAAATTAGAATATATACTAATAAATTTAGAAATATTATTCCAGCTTAGCGGATGTTCAATTTTAATGATATATTTAGAATACTTTATTTTTATGCTGAGATGGGTAAGTAGAAATTACAGTAAATACTAATGAACTTATCAGCATTTTCCTGTCTCCACACAGCTCCAGTTTCGTAATAATTCTGTTTTCAATCTTTTTACACGGGACTGGCTGGCATAAGCGACAGTGGACGCATAAACTTCGTCTAATTTAATTTGTGACCCACCTTGTAATCCATTTTAAATCAAAATGCAGTAAATACAAATTTATCGGTAATTTTCCATATATACATAGGTTCCGGCCGGAAGGTTGCGGGTTCGATTCCCAATGAGGTCATTAGATTTATCAAGTGACCTAATCCTTCCAACCGCACTATGGACCCGAGGTAGACTCAGCCTCTAGAAAATGTGGGAGCCTTGACGTCTCACAACCCTATAGCCTCCACGGCCTCTTACTGGGATATCTTTACTTAACCTCACCGCCATCTGTGAGCCGATTGTCTAGAAAATGTGGGAGCCGTGACGTCTCACAACCCTATAGCCTCCACGGCCTCTTATTGGGATATCTTTACTTAACCTCACCGCCATCTGTGAGCTGATTGTCTAGAAAATGTGGGAGCCTTGACGTCTCACAACCCTATGGGCCTCCACGGCCTCTTACGAGGATAGCTTTACCTTTTTTCCTACACACGTTCCACTTAGCAGTATTCTTTCTAAAACGTACTACTGTGATGGGATTATTGGGTATAAGTGACACTGAATGTGTGAACTTCATGTAATTTAGTTTCAATCACTCAATTTGTAATCAGATTTGAATCCAAGTGCAGTTGATCAAACCCTGCTGAACTCTTGAAGACACATTTCTTACTGCAGCTCATTGCGCAGACGCGAAACCTGCGGAACTGCACCTGTCATGCCAAATGTTCACGTGACTGGCAGCCCGAACAAATCACTGTCTGCAAATTCCTTTTGTCCGAGTACAACTGCGTGATTCAGCATTTTCTTCTTTTAATTCCTTATTCTAAATGCTGCTAAACTTGCTTTTCACAGTTTAAATACACGTTATTAATATAAATTGTGTGACCCTGAACACACAGCTGTGATGGCCAAGACAGAATTTAAATTTTAAGTTTGGTGGTGATAATTCAGATTGTGGATCTGTAGTCATCACTTTGGAGGGTGAAACTGTTTTCAGGTTAAGAAATGGAGACACCAGAGTCCTCAGAAATGTTATTAAAAGTAAAAAAAAGTAAAGCTATCCCTGTAACGGACCATTTGGGTCTCATAAAGTTGTGAGACGTCGAGGTTCCCAATTTTCTCTAGACAATTGGCTCACAGATGAAGGTGAGGTTGTCAACCTTAATTGCCAGCCGTCCTGTATCCCCAGGAAGTTCCCTGGTACTCATTTCTGTTAGATACTGAGTCGATCACATGGTCATAGTGAGGCCGGAAAGATTATATTAACTGAAAAATGATCTGATTGAGAATCGAACCCTCAACTTTCCGGCGTAGTGCTGCAACCAACTACGCTATCGCGTGCCAACCAGAAATGCTAGTATGACCTTCGAGCTACAAGATGGCAAATACCTAATTTACCTAAGTGCTTAACTGAGAGCCACATCACAATTTAGTATGGAAGAGTGGAGGTATAGATCCATGCATTCTTAACCTCAGCAATAGATGCAGGAAAATTTACGCTAATTAGATATTTTCCCACAGTTGAGTTCCAGTAACCATTGCATAGGGGACTGGGAGGGAGCCACCGCCAGTCTTAGCCTCGTGGAAGAGAAATAAATCTGCAAATTGAGACCAAGACCCCTAGCATGTAGTGAGTGCTCATTTTCATAATATAACTATTGCATCCAGAGATCTTTAATATAGTACCTTGTTTGGAGATGATGCATCTTCCCCAATGCTGGAGATTATGAGGTTACAGCTATCCTCACTAGAGTCACTAGCATTGCTCAAATGGCTCACCCTGCTGCTCAGATCACCAAGGTCCAGTGATGTCATTCTCTGATGAGACTGCCTTCCTTCATCCTCATCCTGAATTGGCTTCACGCCAATTATCTCTATAACCTCATCTCCATTAGCGCTTCCACTGTAATAAGTTTCTTCTGGAACTATTCCACGTTCCTTTGCACCTACGAGGTAGCTCAGAATATCATATTTGGAGGCACCTTCAAAGATGGACCTTGAACCTCTCTTGAGTTCCTCAAGATCATCAAGTGATGGAGGTGGTGATAAAGGTAATGGAGGAGGTGTATCGGGAATTTCCTCATATATTGGATCTTTGATGCTCTCATAAATATTTTCATCATCAGTTTCATTGTTTGGTTCACTGCTGGATCCTCTCTTGTCTCCTATCTCTACTTCACTTCGTTGATCATCTTTCTCCATTACATTCGGATCAGACTCTTTCAGAGAAAGAGATAACCGAGAAGTAGAGGTGATACCAGTATCTTCTTCTTTATTTGCAATTCCTTCATTCTCTGCTTCAACAGAAATAGGAGCTGTGTTCAAACCACTAGAGTCACCAGAGAGACTTTTATCTGCCATTTTACAGTGTTCCTTATCCAAACTATTAACACATTTCCGGCGTTCTTCTGTCTCTGTTAATAAACATGCCTGGAAAACATCATCATCACCTTCTTCTTCCTGTTCTATAACTGTTGGCAATGTGTCTTCTGAGCTCTTTGAAACTATAGCTGATATATTTGAATGTACCGGGTTTTGCTCACTGGTGTTCAGATCCATTAACTTTGATACTACATCGGCCATGAAGTAATCTCCTTCTTTTAACGTCTCTTGTTCAGTATCTACTGCATCGTTTTGTAATTCTGTTAACTTGTTGAGTCTATCTGTTGGAGATGAGGACATATTAGTAGTTTCATCTCCTGTTGCCAAGTCCTTCTTTCCACATATGTGTGGTACGAGATTTCTTTTAACAGCTTCAACTGGATTCAAGAAAATATCTTCATCATTGACAACGGCAGATGTTGAAGAGGGGTCTATTCCTCTCAATCTGGGTAGCAAAATAACATTTGAGGATGAATTCTGAACATTCTCTTCAACACTCTCAATAATTGTTATTGCACTGTTAACAACCCTGTTATCATTGTCATTGTTCACTGAAAGAGGAATATCACCATTTCTGGAATGTAATACAGTATTACTACTTCTCTCACTGTTGTCATGGTGATCCACTACCAACAATGTTCTTTCAACATGTTTCTCAGGGGTCACAGGGATGACATTAACTTGATCTGATGAAAGCAATGTAGAGGAACTAATATTATTGTTGTACATGTTTGAGTTCAATGTTGAACAAGAAGTACCAATAACTGTACACGAGGAACTTAAATTTGTATTGCCAGTATTTTGGTGCTTTACTTCGGACAGCAAACCACCTGAAACACCACCAACACTAATGGTCACTTTGTTACTATTATCTTTCTTAACTGGAGATGTGCTGATGTCATCTTGGACCATAAGGGATGTGACAGAAGAATTCCCACTGTTGTTAAATCCAACATGTTTAATATCTCTGGAGGAGTCTTCACTGTTGATGAGAATGGAAGTCCGCCTTCGAGGTCCTGGGCTCACATCTGTGGCAGCATAGTCTCCTTTTATCTGCAAGCGATGCACGTCTGCCATTGGAGATCCTGGGGCTGATACAGTGACAATTGTACATACTTTATCATCAGTCTGATCCACTCTTTTTGACGTGATTTTCACTAGAGAATTTACTGTATCCTGCTTTGGTTCCCCCTGCAAATTGCACGATGTGGTTTCTAGTATTATATCTGACTGTAATCGTCGTTCCTCACGCTGCCCTTCTGAAGAATTCTCAATGTGTACCACAAGTTTCGGTACAACTGGGCCAGGGTCGCTGTGTCGATGTTCCTTTTTCTTCATAGCTTTATCAGCAGTCTCACAAATGGACTGAGAGGTTGAAGTCGCCAATGGTGACCATGAAACTGGCAGAATATTTGATGATTCTAATGCTTCTGAATCAAACAATGATTTGTTCACTTTTGGAACAGAAGATGATGTAATTTTCTGTTTGGAATTAGATTTAATTGAGAACTTACGAGCTTGTTGATTCATTTGCTCTATTTGTTTCTTAGTGAAAGGGAAGATTTGCCTCGGTGGAAGTTCTGGAAGGGCTTGCTCTGTGTTTTCTTGAGGAAAGTTTGATGATGGGGGTGGAGGAGGTGGCGGAGGTTCTTTGGGACGTGGTCTTCCAGGACTTAGCATACGCTGTGGCCGTTTAGGTGTTTCTATCAGAGTCCCGTTGCTTGTGCAAGTGGCTGGAACTCCAGGGTCGCTGAACACCTGTCGTATATCAGGACGTGCCGTCTGCAGACGAAGCCTCATAGTGTCATTAAACAGAACCGCAGCTCCAGCCGCTTGCAGCTGTGGCTTCTGTCGCTCGAGGTCGTCACTGTTTGTGGGCAACAGACGTTCGCTCTGGCAGCGTCGGAGGCTCACTGTGGTCGCGCCACCCCGGAGGGAATGCTCCTTCAGCACGTCCTCCACTGCAAACAAAGACGTACATTTGTCACTTTGTATAACAGCAAGTACTTCAACCGTTGTATATGAGGTAAATATGTGGATCGCGGTCTCCTGTATTGAAATGTCGGACGAACACATTATCTCCAGGCTAGATCTTCAATTTGAGATGGTATGGTCATCTAGAACGCAAGGATTTTCCGAACCACAGACCGTTATAAGCAAGGTCGCATCCTTCGAGTAGGTCAGAAGAAACAGGTAAATTTGGTGTTAGTCAGTCAGTAGAGGGAGGGGGGCGTGTCAGGTCGTAGCCAGAGCCCTCTTCTGCTCGAAGAGAAGGCCCAATTTTAAAACACGCTAAAGTTTGGATGAAAGGTCATCGGTCCTGACGGGACCCGAAACCAAGCAGCAATTTGCTGCACTGGACTGGTATAATTATAACACTGAGGCAGGTTTTCTCCTAGTGTATGGATTTTCCCTGTGAATTTTTATTTCATTAAACGCTGCATTTCTCTCATCTATCATGCGGCGTTAGTACAGTGGACTGCTTGCAGCCTAAAATCAAGGAATTCTTTTTCACTCCATTCTCAGAATAAAAAAAGAAATATGAGTGTTCTGCCTGAGCACCAGGACATGAAGACATGTAGGGGACTGTAGGCTATGCTCCGCACAGTCTTGTACATAAAGGTGACTGTTCAGTTTCACCCATTTGCAGCTTCAACCTTGAGAATAAGAGATCACACTTATTGGGAGGTTATGCATTCTCACAGTTACTCCCATATTGGGCAAATTTTATCACGGAAATATCGTAAAGATCTTTGCTCAACCAATTTCTTGTTTGAAGATTGCGTTATTTCACGCTGTTATTCACCGAGGAAGGTTATTTGCAGTTGCATCAGATGGATGGGTCAATAATTCATAATCAATATGGCTTTTAAGAAAATAATGTTATAATGTCAAGAAATATAAATATTCTTGCTGTCTTCATCTTTATTGATTTTAAAGTCATTTAACGATACAATTTCAACTACATACGTTACATGACGAACAGCAAGTAAGTACGGATTATACAGGAAGGTGTCATTGCCTAAGTCATGATACTCCTCCGGTGTTCGTCCGAAGAGACTGAATGAAACCACGGGTCCAGAAAAGCGGATAGTCCGATGTCCTTAAAGGAGTCAGGATAGCTCAGTCTCCTTACTGACGGGATATGGGCTGGATGGTCCAGGTTCGATTCCAGGCAATATAAAATTTCTCTCTTCCTCACAACGTCCAGACCGACTCTCGGGGAGGGATTTCTACGGGGGTAGCTGACCACTTTCCTTCATCTAGTGCCGAAGTCAAGAAAAGTGGAGCTATACTCCCTCATGCGTCTTCTTGGTATAGTGCTTAACTAATTAAACACAGGCACAACTTAACCTTTTTATATACAGTCTGTGAAAGCTAAAGGAAAATTAACTTTGTACCTGGGTATCAGAGAATTATGGCTTATGAGGGCAGTGTAAGATCTAGAGGTAGGTGGAGGGATAAGTATGCTAGGGTCGGTCACGGTAGCCGAGCGGTCTAAGGCATGTACTGTCTTCGCTCGCTTGGAAACCGGGATCGTGGGTTCGAATCCCACTCAGGGTATGGATGTTTAGTTTGTGTGTGTACGTTTCTCTGTGTTTGTGTACAGGTAGTGGCCTTGCGACGAGCTGATCACCCGCCCAAGGAGTCCTACCGAATGTGTAAGATCTAGAAAAACCGAAGTGAACGGAGAAGTTCATGGAGGTAGGCCTAGGTCCACTGGGGCTGTAGTGACAAGGAAAAGAAAAAGAATGCTAGGAGTGTGGAGTGTAGGTTCTAGTGGCTGGTTTCTATGAAAGCGTTAATGACCCTACAGGTCCTATATGGGTAACTGGATGTAGAGCTCCACACAGTCTCAACCTTGGCACTAGACAGAGCTGAGTGATTGCCCCCCCCCGGCTGCTCCTCTCCCGGAATAAAGGGCCCACCTTCATCCGTTGCATTGAGTGTCAGAGGCGGGCTGGTGTCTGTCGGGAAGAGAACCCTGATTCCCCAGTCGCCCAGTCTGCAGTCCAGTCGATACACTGGCTGCGCCATCGCGGCTCTGTACCGGAAGCTCATGCAGTAACACAAATTCTTACCTTCATAAAATGTCAAGGTGACTTCGTGCGTCCGAGGTTTTTAGACGCTCTTACATAACAGAAATTTCTAATTTGTTTTTATCTTCTTGCACAAGAAATTGTAAGGATACTTTTGTCTTAATCATGAAACCTGTCAGCCTGTCAGCTGTTTGTGGCGATTTCAGCCAACATATCATCCCACTGTCAGACGCTCCTTTTCTCTGCCTCATGAATAAAAATACTCGTAGGTTTCGTAATTATCCTGCGTTGTGCCGTTCTTGTCAGACGCTCTAATACATAAACTGAACTGCACTGAGTTAGCAGCAGTAGTAGGAAACCGCTATGGAATGGCTACCTTGGTAAAGCGGCCGGGGCGTGAAGCTGACTACTCTTCTCCAACTAGTACTTAGATAAAGAATGGTGCAGGTATACCTCCACTCCCCCATACGTCTTCATGGTGTTCTGTTTAATTAAATAATTACATGGACAACTTTACCTTGTGTCTTTAGTGGTATTAGCCGTACTGGGAGTGACAGCAGTGGCAGTACCAATTGTATTAGAAATCATGGCAGTAGTAAAGTTAGCAGTAGCGATAGCAGAAGCAAAACAATACTGTGATAGTGTCAGTAGTAGTAGTAGTAGTAGTAGTGAATCCTTGAGGTCACATTCTTATTCAGAAAATCTGAGTAGACATAATGTGTAGACGTATTGCAATAATATGTTCTTATAGACTGAAATAAAATTATAATATATTTATACCGTGGAGAACAATGATATATGGAAATATGCTTCATGACGTCTACTCGAACTCCTTGTAATATTGTCTTTAATCTACCGGTAGGTAAACACAAAATGCTCAATTCCTTTCAGACTCCTAGCTAAATTTTTAACACATTTGTAACAAGATCACTGAGTACTGTATCTCGCACTCCTTGATCTGTTCCAAGTACGTGGAGTATGTGAGGAGTACAAAGATAAAACCCCTCGTTATGTAATTTCCCCTTCCTCTTATTATATCGTGCTTCTTAGGTCCAAATATTCTCCTCAGTACTTCATTCTCACCCATTCTCAACCTATTTCCCCCCCTCAGGAAGAAAGTCCACATATTATTCTCGTGCCACACCAAAGAAAAGACAATTTAATTTTATACTTAATAAGAAGAATCCCAAATATAGTATTCATTAGATTATATACCACATCCGTCACACCAAGGTTAACTAATCTGTTATGACATGAAGGGGTCAAATGTACCTGCAGGTGTCATCGTCTGACGCTGACACGGGTACCTGGGCCTGTTATGGAATGAGATAGAGGAACATCACACTATATGCTGTGTTAATTTCACAGTGGAGCCCGGCTGGCTTGGGGCACGCTCAGAAAATTGGTTAGGAAATGCAAGCACAGCCGAAGAGTTCTGGACCCTTCACTCTGTTACGCCTGTAGATCTCATCAAAATCTCTCCAGAAGTTTTTTTCTTTTTCGAATTTTTGCATGAAAATATATGGAAAGGCAGGCATGACGAAGATTTCCGGCAACTTCCGAAACCCGATAACAAAAACTGTTCCATGTGATGTTAGAAAGAGTCGACGACCTGCGGTTGATCTCCGTGTAAACAGATCATTAAAAGAACAAAATGGCCGCAATACTGTTCAACATTCCATGCATAGTGGCACTAAATAGTTACACCACAGATCTGAAGGCTCGAAGGTGTGGGTTAGGGAACATTTGAACTGAGGGACCCGTTACAAGAACCCCTCACCTGGTTTTCGTGGTCAACAGTAGGAATGAAGAGTTTCATCTTTTGGGATATAACGATGAGAAGTCTAGTGAAGGTCAACCGACGTTTCGACTGAATAAATCTCCTCCATCTTCGGGGCCGAAGAGTAATCAGAGCTCTGTTTGCTCACTGTTTTATGCTCGTTTCTTGATTGGCTTATCTCCGAATTTTAAAAACAGTGGTGATACGTTCCTTAGGAAAATCGGTTGAATTTCAACACTGCACTGCGTTATGTCCGAGAAGGCAGAAGTTTTCACAATCGCGCCTGTGACAACCAAATTCATAGTTCGAGGTAGTTTCTGAAAAATATTGTGGATAGTGCAGAAAATTTCTGGGCACCTGAAGCACCAAATTTCACTAACATTTTCACAAAAACTGGTGAGTAGACCCCACCCATAGCCGGTTGAATCCAGCACGTCACCGCAAGAAATAAGCATAACACAGGCGGGAAACAGACCTATGTTTATAATTAGAAGTTGAAGAGAGACGTGTTCCTCCGAAACGTCAGTTAAATTCACCGGACTAGACAGAAAGTACAACAATTCATAATCGCGTCTATGAGAGCCCCAAATTCAGTAACAATAGGATAGGACAATTATGTCTCTCAAATAGTGGTCCGCGAACACTACCGGCTTACATCATAATTTATAACGCTACGAGAATTGTGGTTAACGTCGTATATACTAAACTTGAGGGCATAAGTAGAACCAATTCCCGAAACATACACATCCCATGTACCTAAGTCAATGGAGAGCATCTTTCCTTCTTCTGAAACATCTCTGAGAGTACGACATAATTTGGGGAGGTAACCTTACGGAAGAAAATTCCCTGTGTGCTCAAAGTTATCTCCGGAATTTTCATTCCTAAATTATGTAGGAAGTAGAATTCAGTGATCGCCTCTTTGGTCTAGTGGTCAGAGTTCATGGCTACAGATCTAGAGGTCCCGAGTTCGATCCCCGGCGCTACCAGATTTTCTGAGAAGTAGTGGGTCTGGAACGGGTCCACTCAGCCTCGTGAGCTACGTATTTCAAGGAAACAGCGGCTTCGGTCTAGAAAACTGAAATTATCGGCCGTGGGGATTCGTTGCGCTGACCACGCGACACCCTCTATCCGCTAAAGTTGG